ATAGATGACACCAAACTGGGGGAAAGAGTCAACAGGTTGGGTGAAAACATCATGATTCCAAAGGGTCTCCATATGCTAGAAAACCCTGTCAACTCTAGGAATCTGAAATTAAAAAGGAATAAGTGTATTCTTACAGCAACAGTATTTTACATAAATATAGGAAGAGGGTAGTGTGGTTTGGCCTCCATGAAAATGATGTGGGAGTTTTTTAATGAACTGAAAGTTAAATATGAGTCAGTGATGGGAAATGGCAGCTTGCAAACAAAATTAGCATGAACTTAGGCGGTATAGTTTCTGTATTGAGAAATGTGATTTCCCCACTGTGTTCTGCCTTAGTCGGGGTGTGCATGGATTAGTGTGTACTAGTCTGTGCTGCCATGGAGGGTCATCCACCAAAGGAGGGTGGCTAGAATGATAAAAGGACTAGAATCAATGCCTTAAAAGGTTAATTAGAAGGGACAAGGTTGCTCAGGCTAAAGAAAACAAGATTTAAAAGAAACAATATACCTATCTACAATTTTTGAACAGCCTGTCATGTAAGAAAGATATTAGAATTGTTCTTCTTGGTCTCAGTAGATAGAACTAGAAACAATGAATACGTAGGGATTGCAGAAATAGGTTTCAATCTTATTTAATGTAAACAAAAATGCTAACAATTAAAAAAAAAACATTCCCAACCCCTCAGGTCCTAGAGCTGAGACTGGATAGTCATTTGTTTAGTGTATTGTGAGGGGATTTTGGTTGGGCTAAATGATTTTTTTTTAGGCTCATACCAATTCAGCAATTCTTTGAAACTAAAAGTTATTTTAAGTGATCATTGCAAAATGGGAATAAAGTGAAAATTCTTATCTATAAAATGGCAAGTTAAAGTTATTAATGCCAGTGATGTTTCATTAATAATGTTGTTTTCTACCATAAGACATCCAAAAAAGAAAGCTTTTATATTGTTTTTATTTCCAAAATATAATCATTTTAACACAAAAGAAACAGCAGAAATAAAGTCAAAAGTGTTAGGCAAGATTGTGGGGAATATTGTAACAGAATTCAGTATGGAATAATTTTTATTTCACTTGAACAATTTTAAATCAATACCATGGATATTAAGAGTCTGAAACTGGTCAACTCAAAATTAGGTTTCATTCAATTGAAAGGCTTTTAAAGTTAATTCCAAAACAGCAAATCTCCCATGAATATCCAAGATAAAAAAGCAACATAATGAAGGAATCAGGAGCTGAAAGACAAGATAACAATATGTAACTTAAATTAGTATAATTGAATTTCAAAAGACAGAAAGATGTGAGAATATAAAAGAAAGAAAAGAAATGAGATGAAAACCTAAGTGAGGAAGGGAAAGGAAAAGTGATCCAAAGAGCCAATTATAATAGCAAACAGAAACTTAAAAGAATATTAAAATACTTGCCAGTCACATCTTTTAGATTCAAATTTAAATTCTTTGACTTCTTTTTATTTTTCTTGACTTGTCATTTCATTTCTATAAAGAATTCCTAGTGAGTGAAGAAATAAACTCAGTCAAGGCAGATCAGAACTTATTTTACAATATACAGTCTAAGAGTTATATGGGGCATTCAGAAATCAAATGACTTACCCAGAATCACATAGGTTATGTGTATCAAGGGAAGAAATTCAATGTAGGTCTTCCTGAATTCAAGGCTAGCTATCTATGGACTTACCCAAGCTGCCTCTCATTCTATAAATTCTTAGGCCTTTGTTAATATTCATGAATGGCAGTTCTTTAAGAGGTCATAGGCAGGCATGAATAGATTGTGACCTGGATCATTGGAGGGAGTATTCACATTAATGATATCACCAATCCATTGAAGTATTAATGTACCAGAAAAAAAAAAAACAAACTTGAACTTATATATATCTTGAATATAATGTATAACATTATTCAAATTTTAAAATTGATTTTTAAGTTTTAAACACAAAGATAAAGACTCAGAAATATCTATATTCCAGTTTTGTTGTTTTTGCCATTGTTTTTTTTAGCTGGTCCTGAGAAGAAAATTAATTTGCAGCTGAATATTCTAGTAGAAAAGTACTTTAGGGAAAAGAATATTATTTTTTGATTACCGTATGACTTTTCTCTACATCTCCCTTCTTTCATCTACAAATGTGATGAGGCCATATGGTCTCACCTAACTTTTAGAATACATATTTGTAACATATTTTGAATGATAACCAAGACAAAATAGTTAGCATAAGGGATAAAAGTACATGAGGAAAGTCATTTTTAATCATTTCATCATTCATCAGCACAGAAAAATCATTCCACTAATGTAGATCTTGATTAGACTTTAAGTTAGTAGATAAGTCCTAGGAAGTCACCTAAAGCACACCAAGGTTAAGGGACATGACTGGCATCACACAGGCAGGATTTGAGCCCAGGTCTTTCTGAATCTAAGCCCAGAACTCTATTCGCTATTGCCATAGTGCATCTGTCTATAAAGGATATCAATGAGGAGATAAATGAAAGGAAAATAAAGTGTGCTAGCTAGCAAGAGGAGGAAAAAAAGATAGTCTGAATGCTGAGAAAAGATAGTCTGGATATTGCACTGGTGCCACTGACATAAAAACAAATGAGACACAGAGAGAGACAGAGACAGATAGAAATAAAAAGAGAGAGAGAGCGAGAGACAGACAGACAGAGGGACAGAAAGAGACAGAAAGACAGAGAGACAGAGTGAGAGACAGAGCAACAGACAGAGCAAGAGACAGAGAGGCACAGTAAGAGTGAGAGGGAGGGGGGAGAGAAAGAGAGGGGGAGAGAGAGAGAGAGAGAGAGAGAGACGAGAGAGAGAGAGAGAGAACGAACTTTAGCAAGTTGTGTTGAACATCCATGGAGAAGCTAATGCAACACAGGAACAAGTGTGATACGGCATGAGGCAGTTAGGGGTTGGGTTGTGATTTACGTTGATGGAAAGATTACTTACCCTCATGAGATGACACATTTATTGAAGCATAGGTAAAGTCGTTTGGTTTCCTTGAGTACAATGCACTATGCCATTAATAATAGCAGTTTTTATCTTTTGATTACTTGCTTTAACAATTTCAATTATAGGCACTTAAGTGGTACAGTGGTACAGTGGGCTTGAGTCAGTAAAACAAGTTTGAATCTGGCCTCAGACACTTCTTAGATGTGTATCCCTGGGCAAGTCACTTAACCTCTGTCTGCTTCAGTTTCTTCATCTATAAAATGGAGATAATATTTGCATCTAACTCCTACAGTTGTTGTGAGGGTCAAATAAAAATATTTGTAAAGCACTTTGAAAACCTTAAAATATTTTTTAAGGATAGTTGTTTTTATTATGAACCATAAATAATAAAAGTAAGTCTTATGAAGCAGGTGGAGAACCAGAATTATTGTCAGAAAGACTGGCTGTGTGACCCTGCCCAAATTAATTTAACCTCTCAATTCCCCTAGGTAAATCTAAAAAGGAGTCAAATAATTGCCAATCTGAATTTGTCTGAAAGAATAAACTCTTCATAGACTCTAAGCTCTTTCAGCCAGCAATCTCTAAAAAAAATTTGAAAATGTAAAGAAAACAAGTTATTAAAGACCATATCTCCAAAATAATTTACATTATTATAAAAAAAAGTAGGTTTATATAATGTTCATAAAATTTCTCAACTTCCTATTTTACTTTACCAGTTATACTTTTTTATTTTTAAATGTGGTTACTGAAACATGAATTAAGTTGGTTCTTTATGGAAAATGCTTAGTTCAAAAGTTCATATCTAGAAGAGTATTTCATGGAAGGATGCTAATACTAAACCATTTGCTGAAATTGGTTAAGGTAGATGCAAATGGCACTTTGGCTTTTTTTGTTTGTTTGTTTTGGTGGGGGTTTGTTTGTTGTTGTTGTTGTTGTTGTTGTGTTGTTTTGTCCTTAGGGAATGAGGGGAAACAACAGAAATAAAAGCAATAGAAGAAAACTGCTGGTGTCAAAGTCCTAAATTCTGTTTTTAACTTTAGCCTTTCCCATTGAAATATATGCTAGAATGAAATGAAACATTCCTTTAGTGAGCTGAGCTCCTTCATGGCTCTCCAGTGTACCTTTAGAACTGAAACATTTCAATCAAGTAAAGAAAAGTTACTACTTTGGACACTGAAACATTTTGATCAGATAGAGCAGAAAGTGGATGTCATAGGAACATAGATTTGGAGCAGAAAGAGTTCATGGAGATCATCTAATCTTGCCTTCTCATTGCACAGAGGAGAATTTGAAGACATAATAGATTTAACAACTTACCCAAGGTCACTCAGATAATAAATGAGTTGCAAAACTGGGATATAAATTTATATTCTCTGATTCTGGATTCAGCATTCTTTCCATTGTACCACAATATCTATTAAATTTCTGATTGTTTTACTGTGTATGATAACTTTTTTTTCTATAAAAGCTCAAGCAATACGTTATAAGATTTCAGTTGCATTATCTTTTGAGTGAGGGGGCCGTGATAGAGAGATCTCATTTGATATATACATCAGAATTAACCGTGGCTAAACCCATGTGTGGTTAATGACATCTTTTTTAAAATTAAGCCACATCGTTGTTCTTTCATTTGAGGGTAGTTGAAGCAATATTTAAACTGGCTTGACGTTTGATAATAGGTAAGATGTATGATAGCTTCATTTATGTTGCAGACTATAACAAGAATGAATGAATACAGGTAATTCTAGTTCTGTCAAGAATTCATAATTATTATGTGTTTAGAATATTGAAATTTCTAGTAACTTTACCCAAGTTTTGGTCTGACTTGTAAAATTCTGCAATAAATTTTCCTAAAGAAGATTCATGGAGTGCTAGAAATTGATAGGACTGGAGAAATCACCTAGTCTACCTCCCCCTTCCCCATTTTCCATATGAAAAGACAGACTGAGGAAACAAATGAACTTTTTCCTAAGGGGTTGTGGAAATGAAATCCTTTCTTTTGTTGCCTTCTTTCCTTTCAATAAAAGCAAATAAGAAATTAAGGATCTTTTGCCTTTTTTTAAGAACATGTTTATGTATGGTTTAAGTTTGTACAACACTCCAGAAAAGCCATCAGGTGTTAGATTTAAAAATAAAATCAAAAGCATTTTCTGACATAGAGGTACACATGAAAAATTAGGGATGCCAACATCTCTGTGAGAAGTTGTAGAAAGTGCATGTCTATTTTGAATCTGACACCCACTTAACACAGCAGAAATAAGATACTATACTGTAAACAAAATGGTACAATAAAGGATCACTGGAAATTTACATAAGAATAGTTCATAAACATTTTGGTCTTTTGATAACATTTTATATAAAATGAATAAAAAACCTTTAGACGGTTGTCATCACTCAAGATTACTTTTCACCTAAATGCACACAGACGTAGTTTATACAGCAATATATTGATGCACCTTTACATGGATATTAAACTATGGTTACTGCTTGTTACTGTGATGTGCATTATCCAATCAACATTATCCATAATTGAAATACCCTTACATTGTGTATTCTTGTCACGTCGTAACTATAAAAACATGAAAATATAACTTTACATTATTTCAATTATATACATTAGTTCAAGCTTGACAAAGAAATTTGTTAAGTTACAATTTTCAGAAGAGTTGGCCCAGAGCTACAATAAATAGCTTTCACTGTATACAGTCATCTCTTTTTAGTTTTTAAAAACCAATTTTGAGTATCATCGGGATACAGTTAGTCTGCAATTTGGTCATTCTAGCACTGATGATTAATTAAACTTAAAATGCACCTCCCACATGCCAGATGAGGAGAAATGCAATAAAATTTCATGGATTATCTCAGAATATGTGGTTCAGAGACTGCTAAGCTTAATGAAGATGGGAGCAATATAGGCTACCTTCTGTGGTATAACAGATTAGTTTTTTCAACTGAAGTTGTATTCCTCCCCCTTCCTTTTATGGAATATAATAGATATGAATCATAAATGCACATGGCAAAAAGGCAAGTGCTCTATCAATGCTTAATAGAAATAAGAAAATGTTAAAAAAAAAAAGAATGGGTAGATATTCAGGAATGAATAGCGATTTAAAAATCTAAATCAAATTTCAAATTTTCTTTAAAAAAAACATAGAGGAAGAAGAGTTGCTATAAAGGGCCACATAACACTTTTTTAGATGGCAAAAAGATCTTTCTTCAAAGAGTTCCAGAAACGTGGCATCTTAGCCACAATGGGAATGCTTAGATTGCTTTTGCACCTGAAAAAAATGAATACAATTCCACCGTCATAG